AGCTGCATCACACCTTCTATTTCCCAATCAAATAACTCTCTTCTGAAATGAGGATTCCAGATCACTGAGTTGTTAGAAATCAATAAGACTCTGCCACTGATATTTCTTGATTAACTGTACATTGGAACAGAAGGGGAAATGCCTCAGCTAAAGGTCTGTCCATGCACTAGGGATCTTTCCAGAATTTTAGCCTATTCCCACTTCCCACCTTAAACCTCACTCCCTCATACATCACAGGAAGAGATTTTAGAATCCCTTTCCAAGCCGAACAGCCCCATGTCGGGTATGCATCCTGAGACTTCCAATTACCCCAATCCACACCAAATTTTATTGCAATTAGGGACCTCCACCAAGACGATCTTTCTGCAGCAAATCTCCAACACCATTTACTCAATAAAGCCGAATTAACCACCTTTAATCTTCTGTGTAGAGATGCATTTCTGTGAAAGTCCTGGAATATCTTTACCAGATCAGACTTAATGAAATCCCAACATTAAATATAAAACAAGTTAGACAAACCATCCGGCCCAGGCGATTTGTCCCCTTCTAGACTCCAGATTGCTGATTTGATTTCTTCTTCTGAAAAGGTCTCTCAAGGAACATCTTCTGATCTGAACTCAGCTTTTTGAAGGGTAATTCTAGAGGAAAAGGTCTCTTGTCCCATTTTTCTTTATATAGATTTTTGTAGAAAGAGGTAGCTACTGACTTGATTTCAGCTACTGATTCCCCTACTTTATCCTCCCATTCCAGCTTTCTTATTGAAGAAACTCTCAGCTTTCTGAATTCATTCTTTAACTGCCATTATTACCCCTTCCCCCTTTTTCAGCCAGTCCACAACAATTCAGGAATCACCTTCAATAATCAATCTGTCAATCCCCAATTCTTTAGCTTTCTCCACCCAAAAAACAGCTGCCAACAGTTCTGATCTCACCACATCTCCATGCTGATTACCCCACCAATACCCGGAGGTCCAGGATTGCCCATGCACTTGCCATCAAAATTTAATTTCTTCCATCCAGCACATGGAGGTGACCAAACCTCAATTATTTTTTGTCTTCTAGATGATGAGTGAGCAATTGATCCCCATGAGCAATCTTAACTTTAAAGACTGCAAAAAGCTTTAAGGTTTTCACCCAATGCGACACCCTTAAGATTATAATATCTAACACTAACTTCCTTTGTCCTTTCTTTGTCTTCAAAGATTCTTAAATTCCCTTCTTCCCAAATTGTCTGCATCTCTCGAAAATCCTGCCACTTTTTTAGAGCAACTAAAAAGATGAGAGTTGAATAATCCTTCCAAGTTATCAGGGGAGTGCCACCTGCAACCAAAGAGAGATGAAAGAACTCCCAAATAGAGATAGCAAAAGGACAAGAAATTTGAAGGTGAAAAGCAGTCTCACCATGCAACTTACATAAGGAGCACCAGTTAGTGGACAAGCACCAGTTTGGTCTCTTTATCTGGAGCAGATCACAGGTATTAATAGAACCACGAAGCACTTCCCAATACCAACAGAGAGCATTGACTTTTGGAGGGATAGGCCGAGAACATACTTCCTTAACAGGGAAAGAATGAGAATGGGAGGTAGCAACAAGAGAGTTTAAAAAAGGATTTGCAAGAATAAACACCAGATTGAATAAGTGCCCACACTCTGGAATTTGAACCACCATCCCCTAAGACCATTGAATTCAACATGCTAAGCAAAGCATAAACACTGGGAATTTCCAACTCCCTAAGATTTCAAGTAAAGCCCAAATTCCAATTCAAGCCTGATTGGGAAGAGGATGGGCTGATAAAATGACACACCGGCTTTCCTTTAAAACTAGAAAGCTCAAAAAGAGATAGAAAAACTCCAGACAAAGGGGATTCCCCTATCCAGATATCCTCCCAGAAACTTAATTCTCTGACCCAAAGCCAATCATGCCTTATATGAGTGAGGAACACAGGAAGAATGTCATTGATAGCCTTCCAAGGAGCAGCCAAAGTAGCTCTATGCAAGCAGCCTGCATCCCACCCATTGTTTGATAGTCCATGGAAACTTGAGAAAACTTTACTCCATATCCTCTCATTTTCTTTAGGGAATCTCCAAAGCCATTTACTCAATAACGCCAATGTTTTCAACCTAACATTTCCAATGCCCAATCCCCCTTCCTCCTTCAACTTTACCACCTTATCTCAGTTAATCAAGTGTTCTTTCTTCCCCTCCCCAAGCTCCCAAAGGAAACCTCTCATAATCTTTTCAAGCCCTTTCACTACTACTTGGGGCATCCTAAAAACTGACATGAAGTACATTGGGAGATTTGTTAAAGTGGATTTGTTCAATGTTATTCTCCCTCCCAATGAAATATAATTCATTTTCCAGCTTGCTAGCCTTTTCTCAAATCTCTCCACTACTGGGGTCCAAAAACTAACAGATTTAGGGTTGCCACCAAGGGGTAATCCTAAGTAACACAGAGACCAATCCGCTTTAACACATCCCAAGAATCTACCATTTATCTCAATGCATCATCCCCCAAGTTGATTCCGGCCAATACACTTTTAAACCAATTGATTTTTAAATTGGAGATCCTTTCAAAGAGCTTCACTACTGGCTTCAAGTTTTCTACCCCTTCTATGCCTTCCCCATCACAAAAAAATCAAGATATCATTTGCAAACTGCAAGTGGGAGACCAGAACTCTATTTCTTCCAATTACCGAACCCTTAACCAGCTCATAGAGTTAGCCTTAGAGATTAACTTACTTAAGGCCTCAGCTATCAGAGTGGAGAGAGAGAGAGAGAGAGAGAGGATCACCTAGTCTAAGACCTCTAAGCCTCTCAATGAAATCAATTGCCAACCCATTGACTATAACAGAGAAGTGGCTTGTTTCTAAGCAACCTCTGATCCATTTACACCGTAAATCCCCAAAGCCACATTTCCTCATAATGTTGATCAAGAAATTCCAATCTACTTAATCATAGGCTTTCTCCAATTCCAATTTGATTGCTATTCCTTTCTTCTTTAGAATCAAGGCTAAGAAGGTTGTGTTCATTCCTAGGCTGATTACTCCTCTACTGTGGAACTCCCTAAAACTTTAATCAGATCATCTTTAATTATCTCCCAACAATCTTGATAAAAAGCCATTGTGAATCCATCAGGCCTAGGGGCCTTAGATCTATTCATGGAGAACACTGCTTCCTTAATTTCAACCTCAAACTTTTTTTTTCCAAAATCTCCACTTGATTTTCTTCCAAACAATCCCATTCAAGCCCATCCAAAGACCATCTCTCATTGATTGGCCTACGATAAATTCATCTGAAATGATCTGTAAAGGCCTTAGCAGTTTCACCTTGATTTGTTAATTCAACCCTTCTGACAACTAAAGATGATATTGAGCTCTTTCTTTTTCTACCATTAGCTAAAGCATGGAAATATTTTGTGTTTCCATCCCCTTCCTTGATCCACCTCTCTATTGATTTTTGCTTCCATCCGATTTCCTCTCTCAACAAGGTAATTTCAAGCTCATTTTTTAGACGTCAATGTTTTCGACCATGTTCAGAAAAAACAGAAAGTAAATCTGAAAATTTGCAAGTACACTCTCAAGCAATGTAATTTGCCCTCCAGAGATAAGAGTTTACCTTTCCATATTGCCAATCTTTTATCAATTATTTCATAGGTTGCCAAGTAGAAATCGCTGATTCTTTTGCACCAGTAGGCAGTCTCAAGTATTTAAGAGGAAACTCTCCAATATTGCTATCTAACACATCATGCATTAATCAAGCAAATCCTGAGATAGTTTCCCAACTTCATCATTATATACATTTGGGTAGGAGGGGGGAGTCTGAGAAAGATTTGGATGTTGCTGAAACGATGACCTCCAAAAAAATCTTGTGGTGACTGGAGTAAGATATTCACATACTGTTTAAGTCACCAAAAGCTTTTCTCGGTTGAAACTTGGGTTGGTGGGGGCTGGTCCTACAAAGAAGAATGTTGTGCCGACAAGCGAAGTAGCTGATGTTGAGGACACTCAAGTTGTTTCTAATCCAGGTACCCAGTTTGGGATTCTTCAGCAAGAAGAAGTTATTGAGAGTGGATTTGCTTCTACTACGAGAACTCTTGTTAAAAGCCTTGAAAAAAGGGTGGAAAGACCTGGAAGTATTCCCATTGAGAAAGCTGTGGCAAAAGCCTTGGTTTGCTCTTCTGGGGTGGTGAGGAGTTTGCTAGGAAATCCTTTGAGGAGTTTGAGAGGAAGAAGGAAGAAAGTTTAAAGAAAGGTGTAATTGTAGAAGGATAGATGTGGGATGAAGATGATGATGGACAGGAAGAAGAGTTTGTAGGGGGTCCTGATTTCGCTAGGTTCTGTTTGATTTTTTTGATCAGTGGTTCTGTTTGATCATGATGCAGGTGGGCGAATGTGGAATTGGCTGAGGATCTGGTCCTGGAGTTGGTTGATCTTTATTTTGCTAGTGTTTTGTAGTTTGCTGCTGATTTGTGAAAGCTGTGTTTTAGTTTGTTTTTCTCTCTCTCGGATGATAACTTATCACTCCCTCTTGTATTCTCTTTTTATTTCTAATGGAATTCTTATTTACTATTCCAAAAAAAAGAAAAAAACTCTTTGAAAGATTCACTTTTAAACCTGAAAGAAACTTACATGTTTTCAACTCAGCTCTTAGATGATGGAGAAGAACTTGATTTACATCAGCCTTAAAAAAAATAAAGTGTCATCTACATACTGTAGATGAGTGTCCAAGAACCTTGTTGTCTCAAATCAAAGCCTTCAGTCAGTTTATCTTCAGCTACCCTTGGAATAAGTTCATTTAGCATGTATAACTACCGGCACAAACAGCTAAAGTGATGTTGAATCTCCTCCAAGCCACTTGGTCACTTAAAAAATTGAGTCAATAGTCAATACTCCATTCACTTACTTTGAGAAGGTGATATTTACTTGTATATAATGTATGCAACTATATGTGTGTTTGTATGTTTTTGTATAAATTCTGGGAGTATGGAATTCACCACTGTTGAAATGATTGAAATAAAGTAATCTGTAACATAATGTATGTGACTCTATATTTATGTGTGTGTGTGTAATACATTGGATGGTTACTGTAGTCCAATCTGGATCATTGAGGCCCACTAGTTAGATTTTGGTTGATGTTTTCCAACATTTGTGCCTCTGTGGTTTTGCTTTTGTATGCTGTCATTTGGATTTGAGACATGGTTGGCATGGATTTCCTATTTTCTTTATTATTATGCTGATACTCTTCAATATTTTTAACATTTTTGGATTTTATTGCGATTTAACTAATTAATTTTGATGCTATAAATGTTCAGGGTTTATGTTTTCTCAGATTCTCATCATTTTCTTAATCTAACATTGCTTTTGGCATTTTCTCTACCAGAGGCCCGTAAGCTTGAGAGTGAAGATGTTTTTATGGATGAAGATAATGTGCCCAAAGCCTCTGATCAGGAAATAAAGGATGAAGCTGGTGGTTGGACTGAGGTGAATGATATTGATGAAAATGAACACCCTGTTGAAGAGGAGAAAGAGGAAGTTGTTCCAGACGAGACAATCCATGAGGTTGCAATTGGGAAAGGATTATCTGGTGCACTTAAGTTGCTTAAGGAGAGAGGAACACTTAAGGAGACTGTAGACTGGGGTGGTAGAAACATGGACAAGAAAAAGAGCAAACTTGTTGGCATCTATGATGATGGTGGGCCAAAAGAAATCCGTATTGAGAGGACAGATGAGTTTGGTCGTATTGTAAGTTTTTCTTCTCTTTTTATTAGACTGATGTATTTTAAATACAAATATAATGAATGATTCCTAAGATTTTTATGCAGTCTATAAATGGCACCAATGTTTTAAAAGTGTGATAGACGTATGCCTGGAGGTGCACCTCCAGGTAAGGTGATCAAACAGAGCCTTGAGTTGTATGCTGGAGGAGTGGATACATCTAAGGCTTATGCCTCAAACATCCTTTGCATGAGTAGTATGCCTCTGGTATGCCTCATCCACACCTCATGACAAGAAAGAAAGAAAGCAAGAAAGAAAGAATTCCTTTTGAGGTCAATGTTTTTTGATCAATATTTTTGAGGTCAATGTTTTAAAAGAGGAAAAGCTGGTAGTTAACATGAAGGTGATGATTAGCCCACACATAGTCTATAAAATGGATGCTTGCAGCCATGTCATTGGGTCTTGTGCTTTAACTGTGTAGATTTATTAGAAGATGCAATGGTGATACTGTGATAGTTCTGTTACATAGTATTTACTACCACTAATGTGGTAGCAATAGGTCTATCCATTAAGGCATCTTCCTTGATTATTCTCTCTTTTCTTAATGATTGATGTTTGGATTATGTTGTTAATGAACTTTTACATCCTTTTCAGATGACTCCAAAGGAAGCTTTTCGGGTGATTTCTCATAAATTTCATGGGAAAGGACCTGGCAAAATGAAACAAGAAAAACGGATGAAGCAATACCAAGAGGAATTAAAATTGAAGCAAATGAAGAATTCTGATACTCCATCACAGTCCATGGAGCGAATGAGGGAAGCTCAAGCTCGACTTAAGACACCTTATCTTGTGCTCAGTGGCCATGTTAAACCAGGGTGTGTTTCTCTTCACACATTTAGTTTCATAAATGTTAACATTTTACTATAAGATATAGAAGTTAAAAGGTCTGCAAGAGGTCTCAATAGTTTCTCTTACACATGTCTCCATCTTGCCTCATAAACTCTTCTTCACTAATCCAAGAGGTCTCAATAGTTGGCTTCCCTTTCCACTTGACCAAGAACCTAAAATAGGCCCCATTTTGAGTATTGGTGACTCAAATATCTTCTACACCCCTACTTGTTCAAACTCATTAGAACTCCTGGCCCTTTGTGCTTGTCCTTGCTCAACCATTTTTTCTGGTTCTAGATCTCCATGGTAATCAAAGAAGTTTGCTACATTAAAAATCAGAGAAATGGACAAATCAGCTGGTAGCTCAATTTCATATGCATTGTCCCCAAACCGTCTCAGTATTTGACATGGCCCAGTCTTTTTCTTCAACTTATGGTAATCTCCAATAGGAAACCTCTTATGGCGCAAAAACCATAACTAGATTGTCCTCATGAAACTCGGGAGGCTTTAGCTATTGTCAGAAAACCTGGGAGGTTTTAGCAGTCAATCCTATTTTAAAACCTCTAGTTTCTAATGCAGTTGTCCATAAACCTAATTTTGTATTTATCTTTTGCTAGTTTCATCACTGTATAATCAGCAAACATCAGGCACCATGGAACCTCCTCTTGAATATGTTTTATCAATTCACCTATGACTAGCACAAAAGGACCAAGTGCTGAACCTTGGTGAGGACTCATTCTAATTGTACAATTTGATGTCTCTCCCACAGGAGTTCTAGCAATGGTTTTTGCACCCTCATACATATCTTTAATTTGGTCCACATATCTATTTAAGACTTCTTTCTTCTTCAAAACCCACCATATTACTTATCTAGGGATTCTATCATATCCTTTCTCTAGATCAATGAAAACCATATGGTCTCTCTTCTTTCTTAACTTTACTATCCATTGTCTTAATAGGAAGATGGCTTTCATGGTTGATCTCCATGGTTTAAACCCAAATTGATCTTCTAAACAGGGATATTATGAGGAAAGCTAATTGGTTTTCAAGGAACACGACTGTTAATTATCAGTGGGTGGGTAGAACAGTTAATACCATAGCGGATGGGTTAACTAAGCAAGGGGTATCAAGGGAACATTTATTCTGGGCAGCTCTGTAAACTTTCATTTCCTAGTCTGATGTAGTACTTTGTTGTTGTAGTGGAGAGGTACCATCTCATGCCTCTCCTTTGGGCAGGCTGTATTGTAATTTCATTCTGATTATCATGAATAAATTTTCAATCATATATAAAAAAATATATACATTTGCTTGATGTTGTAACCTGTACTCAATTATTCTCTCCTAAAGTTTCATAGTGTGTGGTTCATGAGTTTAATTCCAAGATAGTCATTACAATTTTGTATGTTGCCCTTGCTTTTAATTATGGGGGCCATAGTGCTCTTTCTCCATTCATCCAGCATTTTCTTTATTTTCATTATCTTATTAAGTACTTTAGTTGGTCATAATAAGCCTATCTCTTTCACATTTTTTTTTTGATAAATATTATCTCTTTCATCCCTTTCCACACTTCTATTGGGACATCATAAGTTTCTAACACCTTTCTCTTTTTTTTTTTTTGATAAATTTTCTAACACCTTTCTCTTCTTCATCTTCGTTACTGTCTCCTTCATGTAGGTAATTCTAATTTTACAAAGATATATGGCTGATAAAAAAATTTACAAATATATGCTATTTTTAGTACCATTGGAGTTACTAATCCCTCAACTGACACCCCCTACATGTTCTTTATACAGTAATTTTCAAAATAGTTTTTTCCATCTTTCCTTAATTTCTTGATATCTTTCAAAGACTCCTTGATCTTCCTCTTCAGTGCATCTAACTTGTTTTAAATTTCTGCATTTTTTCCTCTCATTTTTGCCAGCTTATAAGTTTCATTCTCTTCCTCTCTAGGGCCTAATTTATGATATAGTTCATTATATGTCTTAAAATTCAACTTCACTTTATTCTTTTGCTTCCTTTCTTATGGTTTTATATTTCTTTGGGTTTTTAACATTTTTAGTCTCTTGCTAATTTTTATAGCATGCTCGTTTTACTTTTGATTATATTGTTTTGATAAATAATTAAATCCTTTTATTAAATTAGAAATATTAGCACATACAAGCAGCCCTTGGAGAGGCACGAGTTGAACATCTTCGTTTCATCACCTAGTTTCTTTATCACTTTTCCATTTTTCATTAGATTCTTGTAAAACATCCTTTGCAACTTTTTTATATAGTTGGCTATTTCAAGCCACATATCATTCGTCTCTTCATCTAAATTCCATTTTCCTCAGTTACCAGTTTGTCTCTAAATTGTACTAGTTTTTCTCCTCAGATTTTCCCACCTAATTATTGGGCATCTATTTTCTACTCTAATTCTTCTCCATTTTTTAATATGCACTTCTACCACTATTAACATATGTTGTGTGGTTATGCTTTTGCCCGGAATAAGATTGCAATCTCTGCACATCATTTTTTTTGTTCTCCTAGTAAGAAAAAATCTATTTTACTTAATTTGTTCCAGTTTTAAATGATATTAAATATTCATCCTTTTTTTAATATGTATTTACAAAAGTCAACTGTAATGATGAACTTGAAAATGTAATGAATTTGAAAAGAAAAGAATCTTGTTAAAAATTATTTGGATGATATATTTGTACATGTAAATTAAAAATCTTATACTTCTTATAATTAACACACTAAAACTTGTGAGCAATATGAAGATTTTTTTTTTTTTTTTTTTTTTTTTTTTTTTTCTGGAGAACAATATAGAAGATTTTATTGCACGTGAGAACATGTTGTGATATATTCAGTATTTCATGTAGGTCTTCATGGAAATGGATATATGTCTTGGAAGTTAAGAAATATTTAGACATTTTAAAAAAGGGTAAAAAACTTAAGCATGCCCTGAGTTTTCATTAATTGACTTAAAACATATCCTGAGTTTTTTAAAAGGACTTAAAGATACCTTGTGAGTCTTTTATCCTTCATTTCCTTTCAAATTTTCAAAAAGAACCAAAAAGATTATAAATCCAAATACGAAAGATGATAGCACAGGATATCACTTTTCCCCTCCAACCATTAGTGAGAATGGTAAGTGAGGCTTTAATATGGATCTTGAGATTGATTGATGAGCCCAACCCAGTTCAAGTTGAATTTTGTCCATACAGATTCTGATGTTGGATGTTGTAACAACTGTAGATATCGGTTATACAAATACAAAGATAGAAGAACTGTGTAAGAAATGCTTAAAGAGCAGTCACAGATGTAAGAACAATGGAATTGCTTATGCAGAGAGACTTGTTCCTCCAACTGATACTATAAAATACAATGGATATGCATTGGTTAACATTTAAGCATATATTTGTACCATTGTGTAATATGTATTTTCCTGGCAATTGTTGACCGGTAAATCAGTAATTTTTCAAATAAAACAGTGAAGGCCATCCTTGTTATAATTCAAATAATAGAATAGGTGAACAAACAACAAGGTTCATCTGTTAAAGGGCTGAATAGGATTTAAATGAATTTACAAGACATTTTATTGATGGAGGGTATATTTTAAGTCTAGTGGAGTGGGTTTACGAGGTATCTTTAAGTCAATTAATGAAAACTCAGGGTATACTTAAGTCTTTTACCCTAAAAAAAAATTGACTGATGGTTGGTGCTAGCTGTGGTAGTTGATTTTACTTAGACCATTCACTTTTTCCCCATCCCTTTTTCCTTTAATTGTTGTTCAAATGGATGAAATGTATGTAAGATGGTTGTGGTAAATGCTGATTAAAAAGATGGTTGCGGTAAATGCTAGTACATATAGTATTAATTGAATGATTTTTTTGATAATTGAAATATAATTTTATTATCAAAAGATGAGAACTGTTACAAGAAACCCAAAGAGAGGCACATGGTGCGAACTCCCTTAAACTGTGAAGATACATCAAAGCACTAGAAGAAGAACATTACAAAGTAGCCCAGTACTGATGGTTCCTAATAGCATATTGTTTGGCATCAGCCAAAGCATTTTCTAATCTGCCCATCCAATGTAGGCTAAGATTCATATTCCTTGTTAGCCAGCTAGCTTTCTTTAGGATGCCCCTATAACACCTAATGACTGAGTTTGAATCTGTTAACCAACCCACAACAACTTTTGAGTCTCCTTCAATTAGTAGATTCTCCACCCTGGTGATCTGCAATCTAAATACCTTGTAAAGCTGCTAGTAACTTAGTCTCGTTAGAGTCTCCTATTCGGACTGGACCAAAGTATAAGGCTAAAATGTTGCTGTCCTTATCTTATCTCTCAGCACCCCTCCTATACCAGAGGGGCCAGAGTTTCCTTGGCTACTTCCATTAAAATTCAACTTTACACAACCTTCAGGAGGAGTCCACACTATAGTAACCCTTTCCTTCCTGGAAGAGCTATTTTCCATAGCTAACCAATCCTCCAAAGATCATCAAAGGAAAACAAATGGAAAGATTCCAGGGTTCTCAACCAATGAATTGCCCTTGTCTATATGCATTCCTTGACATTTAGGAGGATTCATTCTTTTTCTTGGAAAACTCTTGCATTCCTTTGTTCCCAAATTGATCAATATTGCAGCTTCACTAATACATTTCCACATAATTCTCCCTCTTTTTGTGGGCAACACAAAAATTAATAGATCAAATAGAAGACTTACTTTTGTAGGTAGGTTCCACCTGCACCCAAAACAAGGCAAATATTCAATCCCAAATAGCTACAACGAATGAGCAGGAAATTAGTAAGTGGAAGCAATCTTGACCACTAGCTTTGTAAAAAGTACACCAATTAGAGGACAGTCACATAAAAGGGCCCTTTCTTCTGCAAATAGTCCAAAGTATTGGTTTTTCCATAAAATACTTCCCAACAAAACACAAGTGAAGGAACCTTTTGGATGGGAGGACAAAACCCTCTTATCCGGATTTAGAGGTTCCAAGCACACAATACCAAGAACAAGGAGGTCCAAAACACAACCAAGTTCATCATCCCTTAAATCCTCTTGTTTAAGCATGAGGTTCCAACCTCATGCTTAAACAAGGAGATAGAGTAAAAATAGGGAAAAAAAGGTCCTTGAGAGCTGAATTACCCACCCAAACATCATCCTGAAAAGAAATAAAATTCCTAGAGAAAATATTATACTTAGCAAAGTTAAGAAATTGAGGAAGGATATTGTGAATTGCTTTCTAGGGAGTATCCTAGGTAGCTTGACATGGTACACCAACATCCCAACCATTTTTTAAGCAAGGTGAATACTAGCAATCACCTCATTCCACAACTTTTCTTTTTCCAAAGGCCATCTCCACAACCAAAATTTCTTATCCCCAACACTACCTCCAATCTTATTAAGTGATCCTTTTTCTCCACCTTCTTCCTTGTCCCCTGTCTCCCAAAGAAAATTAATTTCTCCAACTTCTCTGCCTCCCTAGAGGGGATCCTAAACATAGAGGTAATAAATTGGCAAGTTGGCTAGAGTGGCTCCTAACAAGGTTCTCTACCACTAGAGAAATATAATTCTTTTTCCACAAGACTAGCCTTTTTCCAAACTATTCCAGGATTGGAGTCCAAAAGTGGTTCTCCTTTGTGTTAGCACCTAGAGGGAGACCTAGATAGGACGAAGGCCAAGAAACAACTGGACATTTTAAGCACTCTACCACAGACTTAATAACTCTTTCATCCATATTATACCCATCACACAGCTCTTATCCAAGTTTTTCAAATTGGTGGTCACACTCTCAAAGTAACTTATTAAGCCTTCAAGATTCCTCACCTTCCTTAGATCACTCCCTTCACTCAAGATAATGATGTCATCAATATATTGGAGATGGGTCACCAGGACTCTATTCCTACCTATCTTTGAGCCTCTTATTACCTCTTCCCTATCGGCCTTTGAGATTAACCTACTAAAGATATCTGCTACAAGGGTAAAAAGAAAGGGGGAGAGAGGGTCACCTTGCCTTAGGCCTCTACAAGCTAGAAAGAGGTCCTTAACCATACCATTAGCCAATACTGAAAAGTGACAGGAACTGATACAAACCCTCACCCAATTTTACCATTTCTCACCAAAACAATAACTCCTAAGAACCTCTAGCAGGAAGATCCAGTCCACCAAGTCATAAGCCTTCTCTAAATCCAATTTTTAAACAAAACCTTGTTGGCTGGACCTCCTCATTTCCTCCACATATTGATTGGCTATTAGGATCTGATTAGTTATTTGTCTCCCTTGCGCAAAGTCTCCTTGAGCTTGAGTGATTAGGGAGGGAAACACTGCCTTAATTGTTAAAGAAAACACCTTAGCCAGAATTTTATAGATACTTGTCACCAAACTATTAGGCCTAAAATCTTTAGGGTGTCTTGCATCATTCTTCTTAGGAACTAAGGCTAAGAAAGTGACAGTGATTCCAGGGCTTACTATATGTTTATCTACAGACTCCCTAAAAACCTCAAATAAACCTTCTTTCACCACATCCCAACAATCCTGGTAAAAGGCCATGGTAAAGCTATTTGGACTAGGAACCTTTGATCTATTCATTGAGAAGACCACCTGTCTAATCTACTCTTTGTCAAAATTCGTTTCTAACCAGCTTACATTTTCCTCACATTTCTTGGCCATTCTACGCCTTCCACCCTGGCATTTCATTTTAAATAGATCCAGTGTACTTTCTCTGTAGATGACTGCTAGGTACTTTCTGAAAAGCTGGGACCCCTCGTGACATCCATATTTATTTCTTTAACAGTTGCATTTATGGTTAATTTATTAAGGGCTAGTTTTATATGTTTTGGTACACTACTAACATTCACTTATGTTATTTATTCCCAGGCAAACCAGTGATCCTAGAAGTGGTTTTGCTACTGTTGAGAAGGACATTCCTGGGGGCTTGACACCCATGCTTGGTGATAAAAAGGTTGGTTAACTATTATTATTTGTGTTTATTCTTTTCCTGTGGGCCTGATACCCATGTATTTTAGTGGATATATTAGATTTGAACCAAAGATCCACCTTCTTAAATACAGTTTAACAAAAGGGAGATTATCAGTTGTTTAACTTAGAGACACTATAAACTTTGCCTGTAAATATTCTTTTCTTTTTGTAGGATTCTTGAAAGCAAATGCAAAATCTCTGTAACTGGACTAATGACTAACCAACCTAGCTAATAATATTAGATTATGCAGTAATAGAGACGGTTAAGAGGGAGGTTGTGTTTGTTGATATGGAGCTTAGGAACTGGTTTTAGTGTTTCTATGAACTTCTTGTAGGCAGTCCAAGAAAAGAATGAATATGTATCTAGAAAAGGCAGGTTAGTTGGTTTTATGGTAGTAAAGGGTGAGCTCAGAATGACATCAAGGTGGAAGCAACACATGCTTGAAGATGGATGGAAGGTTCGTGGAGGCAGGTTGTTGGAGGAGGGCTTTGATGGTTGAAACTAAGGATTTCCTGTTTGAAGAAACAAGAGTCAGAGGAAATCTGGGCTTGAAGGTGAGGGAAGCAAGGAAGGCTATGCTTCTGTTGGCAGATTTAGAAGTAGTTGAATGGCTTAGGAACTTTATGGCAGGAGCATGCTCAAAAGGCAAATAAACTGGCATGAGTTTGGATCTGAAGAAGGTAAGAAATATATAGTCGAATGCAAGAGGAATGTTAAGGGATCCTATTTTTCTTTGATTGATTTTTTTTGGTAGGGGAAGGAAACAGCTAGTTTGTTTCCCGGAAGGAAGACAAGGTCAAGGCTGGAAGATGTTATTAGTCTGTTTAAGGAGTTCTTGCACCTTGAGGTAACAGCTAAATTGGAGATCCCGACAAGGGAGGAAAGGTTTAATAATAGTTTCAGTAAGCCAGAAGCCCTGGAATAGGAGCCTGCGGTTTTGGCAAAATCAAATGGATAGTGAAGGTTGGTGGGTCTCTCTAGGAGAAAAGAGTGGGGTAGCAGGTTTATAATCCAGGCAAAGAACCAGGTTTATTGACTGGTGGAGGGTTGCTGATTTTGTTGATTTTGAAATTAAAGCTAAAAGGAGTGTTCATTGTAACTCCCTTTGACAAATGCAAAGCTTTGTTAGACTTAAAGGAAAACAAAGGAGACAATTTGGCTGCCAACTTTCAGATTGAGGCTAGATCCTTTACAATCTTCAAGTGGTCCACTTCGTTGCTCCAAGGAGTTTTTTGTTGAAGATGGGGGTGGTGGTGCGTAATTAGGCTTGCCATTTCATCTTTGGAAGCAAGTAGTAGGGTCAATAGCACTGATGTGTGGAGGGCAACCGTGTGGAGCTTTTTGGGGAGATAAAGAGTGGTGGGTTTTTTTGTGTCAGTATGGCTGGCTTCCTCCGTTGAAACAAGCTTGTGGAAGGAGGCTAGAATGGAGGGGGTGAGAAGATTGAAGAAGAAGCTCTATGTGGTATAATGAGATTGGAAGATTCAAATGCTAATTGGAGTTGCTCCAAAAAGGGCCAACATTCACTGGGAAGCCAAAAAGATGTGGGGCAGTTGGAAGCTCAAAGGCATAGAGAACAAGGAACCCCTAGTGTGTAGTAGAACTTTTGCACAAGTGGTCATTGGTAATATTGCCACGACTAATGCCATGGCTCTTGAAGTTAGCAAATAGGGGGGGCGAATTGTAGATCTCAAAATGAACTGAGGCTCAAGTTGGTTGAACCGGTCACAGGTGGGTGTGGCATTTTATAAGGAGTCACATGAGGGCACAACCTCGCTTGGTTGGGTCTATTAGAATAGTGAGCCCATAACATTTTAATGCCTCCTCAGTTTGGGTGGGCCTAGCACCGAGTCCATCTCTCTTCCAGCTATCACCCTTAGAATGACGGGCAGGCCAAGGTCGTGAATAACTGCTTAGAGACTTATATCCATTGCTTTGCTGGAGAGAAGCCATTCCAATAGACCAAGTTACCCTGGGCATTTTTAAAGCTCTACATGGCGAGACCCTCCTTAAATCTTACCATACGAAAAGGGAGCAGTAGCTGTAGCCATGGTTGAAGAACAGTTGATGACTAGAGGTGAGATCCTGAAGTTACTAAATATAACCCCCAGCAAGCCCCACAGAAACTGAAGCATTTCTATGATAGAAAGCACTTTCCAGTTGAATTGTAGGTTGGAGATACAATCTATCTGAAATTTTGACCCTACAGGTAATCTTCTCTGTCCAAGAGAGCTCGAAGCTAGTTCCAAGATATTATGGTCCATTTCCCATCCTGGAAAAATTGTAACAGTAGCTTATTGGTTGGGGTTGCTGCCTTAATTAAAGCTTCACCCTGTTTTCCATGTTTCCCTCTTGAAGAAGGCCAGCTGCAGATAGAGCCCCTACGGATTACAGATTTCAGATGGGTCAGACTGGTAACAAGATAATTCAGGAAGCAAAAGTTGAATGGACTAATTTACCGACTGAAGGTGCAACATTGGAACCATACCTTCAGCTCCAACAGCAGTTCTCACACTTCTTGAGGAAAGAGGGACTGTTAGAACCCACACATGCCTCCTCCAGCTCGATCAAGCCAACTAGTGGACCAGTGAAAATTTGATCACATGTTGAAACTCTTCATCAAGAAGGTTTACATTTTCAAGCCACGTGAGATGCATAGGTCTATCCAACCCACATGTTGTGCGAACCTGAGGCAGCTGCAGTTTTTGAATATTTTGGTTGTTATTCTGACAGTCCATTAGGATATGTAATGGATCTATTATTAATCCCACCTCTCAGTAATGAAAGAGAACCATTTTCTCCTTGAAATTATTCCCTTCTTCCCCTTCTCTTTCTTAGGAGGATGACCTTCCCTCGAAGAAGCTGTCTTGGGCAGAATCCCAATCCTACCTTCCATATCTGTTGAGTCCTTCCATTCTCGCACCTTCTAGTAAATACCCCATCCATGCAATTTTTGAACCAAATTATTGCATCTCCTACTAACTAAATAGAAATCATCCTCCACTCCATAATCTTTTGAGAGCCATAACCCTTAAATCTTACTTCCTTGAACAGAAAGCCCTTCACTTTGATCCTCAGATTCCTTCCCATTGAAGCAACTATGCAAACTTGATGAATCGCTCCACTTTCAAATTCCTTTGAACAAGAGCAACATTAATCTAAAGGATTTTCTTTAATTTTTTTCTTTTTCTTTTTTTTTTAATCCCAAACTAGGTGCTATCTGCTTAGATCTTGTCAAGCTAGAGAGTTAGCATAATAGAATTAACAGTGGGTGGGGGATCCAATTAAAAACTACTTCCATCTCATTAGCCCTTTAGTATATATCATTTGCTATAGCTCTTTTATGGTCTAGATTACTTGAAACCATAACAGATATTCAGCTTGAATATTGCGACTAGAAATATCTTTTTTAGGATTTTGGAAATGTTTGACAATACACCTGATGCTCTCATGAGCATGTGTAGTCAACTTTTTTGACAGAATGATGATGGAAAGGGTAAAAATAGTGAAAGCAGCTGTGCACTCCTCCACTGGGGGTGGGGGGTGGGGGTCCTTGTAATTTACCTTTAGTCATCTGAGAGTCGGTAAGAAGAGATTCTCATTGAAGAAAGAAAGACTGGGGGTTAAGATAGTGGGAAGTATACATGGGTTGGCAGGCAATGGATGGGACTCTGGGATCTTAGCAAGGACTACAAGAGCTTCTCCTTGGAAAGCTATTCAAGCCATCTTGCCCTTGTTTTATCCATGGGTCAGGTATGACTTACACTCAGGTAACCTCATTAAATTCTGGGAACATGTGTGGGTTGGGAACTCCTCTTTGAAAAATCAATTTCTAGGCCTCTTCGCTATCTCTACCCTTAAAAATGAGCCAATCTCCTCCTTTCTTGTTCCTTCTAATTCACCTTCTAGGTTCGGCTGGAATTTGAACTTGAGAAGAGATGTCAGGGACACAAAGTTAGCCTATATTTCAGCCTTATTATCCATTCTTGAAGGGGTCTTCTTTGAGCCTTCGAAGTCAGATAGTAGAATTTGGACGCTCACTCCCTCGAGTTCTTATTCCTGTGCCTCTTTCTTCAAGGCCCTTTTATCCCCTTCTCCTTTTGGACTGTCTTTTCCTGTTAAAGAAGTGTGGTGTCGACCTATTCCTCCAAAGGTTGGGTGCTTCTGTTGGAAAGCCTTCTTGGAAAGAGTTAATACAGGGGATCTACTTCAAAGAAAAAGGCCCAATAGCTGCTTGTCTCCTCACTAGTGTGTTCTTTGTAAATCTGATGGTGAGTCCGGATATCACTTATTAATTTCTTGCCAGTTTGCTAAAGTCATTTGGGAATGGTTTACTTCTCTGTTTGGTTGCAGGTGGACTCCCCCTTATGTGCAAAGCCTATTTACTTCCATGCCTAACTGGTCAAACAAAAGGGCCAAAGTCATGTGGAGATGTGGTAGAGCTGCAGTGTGCTGGACTATCTGGGAGGAGAGAAATTTAAGGGTATTTTCTGATAAAGAGAGAAGCTTGGAAGTAATTCTGGAAACTATCCACATTAGGGTGATTCACTGGTTAAAAACCTTGGAGTTGTTTGCAGTGTTCTCAGTTGATGAGATGGACAGAAAGTGAAGGAGATTGTGAAGTTAGGCTCAATCAAGAAGACCTCAAATTCCTGCTGGACACCTCCACCTCAGGGGTTTACCAAATTGAATTTTGATGACAGCAGCATGGGTAATCCAGGGCCCTAATGTGGATGAAAACTATCCACATTAGGGTGATTCACTGGTTAAAAACCTTGGAGTTGTTTGCAGTGTTCTCAGTTGATGAGATGGACAGAAAGTGGAAGGAGATTGTGAAGTTAGGCTCAATCAAGAAGACCTCAAATTCCTGCTGGACACCTCCACCTCAGGGGTTTACCAAATTGAATTTTGATGACAGCAGCATGGGTAATCCAGGGCCCTTTGGAGTTGGGGGAGTCATAAGGGATGAAAATGGAAACCTGCTAGCTATGTACTCTGGTCCAATTGGGGTGGGACACTCCTTGAGGGCTGAGATCCTAGGAGCTCTTGAAGGGATTCAAAGGGCCAAGGAAATGAACTTTAAAAAATTGATCATAGAAGGTGATTCAGAAATTGTAGTAAATTGGCTAAAAGAGGATAGCTCTTCACTCTGGAAATACAGCAACGAAAAGAGGAAATTCAAGTGGCTCACCAAGGATATTGAAATCCACTGTACATGGATAGTGAGAAGCGCTAATGCACTGGCAGATGATCTAGCTAGGCAAGGGGTGAACAGAAGCTCAATGCTTTGGGCTGTTTTGTAATTGTTTCATGAATTCGAGTTTATAGGGTATTTGGGAGTTAAGATTTTTTAGCTCCTTCCTTGTAATTCAGCTTTTCCATCTTATCAATAAAATTCTCTGTTATTGATCGAAAAAAAAAGAGTCAGTAAGAAGTGGGGATGGGGGCAGATATGTAGTGCAACTTGTATGGTTGGATCAACTTAGTTAATTGAGATGCGATTATTGCTTTCTTCGTTGCTGGTGATGGATGTCACATGTCTCCGAGGTGGCGATAGTGGTCCAGTTCTCATTGATGGGGCTAAACTGATGTGGCCGTTTAAAAGGGGTTTTTAAGACCATCAATTCCAGTGGCCAACTGTTTGTGATACAGGGTGGTCTTCATGTTGGTAGCAGTTGAGGTTTCTCCTTACTCTGTAGTACAAAGTGTAAAATAATGAAACAGAAGTTTGGGGAATAAGGGGGGAGGGATAATGAGATATAATTTTAGTTGTAATTCTTTACCTACTTATTATTACATTTGAAAACCAGTTCAAATAGATCAAGTCAAACGTGTCCTATTTTACATTATGCTGGTGTTGAGTTAATTTCGGTAGAAAAGTTAATACCTGGTGTCAAGTAAAATGGTAGCGGCATCCTCTACATAATATTTTCTTCGAATTCTATTGTGGTTCTGTTACATGACTATTTTCCATCCAAGGATTAAATCTTAACTGGATAAATATTAACCGTTACTCTGTTTCAGGTTGAGCATTTCTTGGGGATTAAGCGCAAAGCAGAGCCTAGCAACATGGGGCCTCCAAAGAAGTCAAAGACCTGAACAATGTTTCAACTTGGAAGAATTCTAGACATATAGGGTCTGACTATCATCTTTGAAGATGATTTATTAGACCAAAGTGGACTTTTTGATTAATTTTTTTATATGGATCCACTTCATTATTTTGTTTTTATGACTACACTGCTTTTCAGTAGTGGTTAATACACCGCCCCATTCAATTCAAATGTATATCATTGTATATTGAAGTTGGTTCGAATGTCGTGTATAAATTAGAGTCATTAGTTAAAATTTCATAAAATTTGTTGTCACTGGTAGTCCCAATACAAATCCATTGGTACATCCTCCCAAGGTGCTTCTAGAACTGGCAAGTCCTATAACATTCTACATATTTAGGGACATCCTTTTGCTTCTTTGGTCAATAGAAACTTGCTTCGACCAAACTCAAGAATCACGAGCAAAAGTGTCTACAAAGGCCCCTCCATGTAGTTACACAATTATGGCTTGTCGAAGTGAATATCTTGGGATACATAATTGATTGCTACAAAACAAGTATGCATCTTGTTTGATAAAATCTCCATGTCATTTTAGTCTTCATAAGTTGGAAACACTTCTCAGCTTTTTCGGTCCACTTAAATGTTTCACCTATTAAACAATCAATCACAGGTGCTATGAGTGAGCTGAAGTTTTGTATGAATCTATGGAAAAATGTCGTTAAACCATGGAAACTCTTTAAATCATGGTTGTTCTACGAAGGGTTAGCTTATGATTGTTTCAATTTTTGTAGGATCCACCTTAATTCCTTCTGTAGATACAACGTAGCCAAGGAATATCAATCTATCGCTCACAAACTCACATTTCTTTAGATTTGCATATAGTTTCTCTTCTGCTTGACACTTGCAAAACTCGCCTAAGTTGCTTAATATATTTGCTCTTCATCGATATATACTATGTCATCAAAGTAGTCTTTCAAAAGGCATGACTAACCATTCATATGGTCTTGTTGATGTCTGCTATCTATGCTTATACACCAGATTCCATCCTTTTTTTGGTGTTAGAAGAGCTGACACTACTGCACATGGACTCATTATTTCACAAATCAATCCCTTCTCCAATTACTCCATAACCTGTCTTGTAACTCTTTATTTTCATTAGGGCTCATCCCATAAGTTTCTTTGTTTGGTAAAGTTGAACCTGTGATGAGATCAACTGACGTTAAATATTCGTCATTGGCAGTAATCCATGAAGAAATTCATTTGGAATAACATCAACATACTCATTCATTAGAGGCTCAATTACTATTAGAATAGAACTAATATTTTCCTTTTTTACAACCAAAGCGTATATATATATATATATATATATATATATATAGATTGATGTAGGCGCTTGTGGTCCAATTCCAATAGGAAGCCACCACGCATTAGGTGGCGGCGTTCAGGGCAGAACCAATCAGCGCACGAGTGCAGCAGTGCTCAGTGGGTTCCCTGGGACCAATGGCGTGAGGTCATCTGGCAGCCTTGGATGGCTGTCCTCCCCGCGTACGGGCTGCATCCGGACCGTCTAAGCCCACCTACCTCCAGGTGACTTCAAGTATAAATAGGAGGTGACCCCCTCAAGGTAAAGGATTGGAACTTAAGCTCTCTAGCTAGCACTTGAGATCTCATATTCTCTCTCGTGGCCTCATCAGGGTGCTCACATCTCGGACCTCGTCCACTTTGCATCTCCCCTCAGCCCGACTTAAATAACCAACCCTTGGGAGAGGAGACAGAGAAAAATTTACTCTTCCAGTTGTGGACAGACGAAGGGTTGTCTAAGAGTCGGCCTCTCCGAGGCTGGAAGTAATATACACTATCCTCAGTGGCATATGCCCTCGGCATAAATATAGCTTGGAACATTTTCGGTGTCAAGTCCACATCCCGAAGCCAAGCCACCACTAGCATGGCGATAATGGTTCTGAGGGCATTGGGGGCTAATTGGCTAAGGGTAATCCCATACCATTTCAATAGCTCAGAGATCAATGGATGAAGGGGAAATATGAGGCCGAACTCAAGGAAATGTTGGTAGACATAAATCTCCCCCTCCTCCAATGTCCACAACCGATCACCAACGTTGGGACCCTTAGTCTATAGGATTGAGGGATGAAGTACTTCTTAGCTAGGGACTTCACCTAGTCGTAATCTAAGATGCTATCATGCTTCGAGCGTAGTAGATGCTCTATGTGCACCCCTCGGACAGCGTACTCAACCACCGTCCTCGGGTTGGGCACGAGAACCAATTCACCCTGTACCACCAAGGGGGACCCCTTGGCCTCCTCCCTAGGCGCCACAAACTCGGTGCTCTCACAAGGAGAGTCTTCACCCCTTCGGCTGCACTTGGCATCCCGAGGGGCAACCCTCTCCCTCAGCACCTCTCAGCGCGGGGCTAGGATCTTGGCTACCGATGAGCCTCAGCCAAAGATGATAGGGGTTGGGGTTCGGTAGGAGCTCACTCCCGAGGGATCTGAGAGCTCATAGCACTCAGGGCCAGATTTGGAGTAAGACATGGTGATGAAGTGTTTACCTAGGACGAGGACAAAAGACAAAATGCTCTAAGGATAGCAAGTAAGTTGAGGGATCTAGGAAGCAAGGGTCTCTTGAAAACAAAGGCACTCGAGAGAAAATGGTGAAGAAATGCATGACTAAGGCCCCTATTTAAAGAGAAATATATGGTCTAGATCGCACCTAATCCAACAGTTGCGCAACAACCGCCTATACGGCCCTGTTCGTTGATCGACACGTGTCGCTCGCCTCGGGAAGATGAAAAGACGTCGAGCGAACCAACTGGTCTTCTCGTCGCAACTCGCTAGTTTGCCCAGTTGCACTGTTTCCCTGACTCCTGACTCTCGTTTCCCTCACAACTCACCTAACTCCTGTTTCTATCACGACTAACCCAACTCCTGTTTCCCTCACGGCTCACCCAACTCTCGTTTCCCTCACGGCTCACTAGCCAGCAGCAGCGGGTTTCGTCATGCAAGCGGCTAAGTCCCAACCTCGAACTTCCCTGTCACCCCCTCGGCACTGCTAGTCGAGGCCGAGGCTTCCACGGGTCCACCTGCATAACCAAAAAGCAAGGCAAGGGGGCAAGACTCACTCTCACCCATCCTCACGGCACAGCTCGGGGAAGAGAACGAAGGTCAAGTTGATGCCTCCGCAGGACACATCATGCTCGTCCTTGGAAAGCCGAGGCCAAGATCCTTATTTGGAAGGACCAACCACTCCTCCCAACTTGATCGACACGCTCCCTTCGATTGAAGCTAAGGTCTTCAGCTTTGACCTTCACCATGGCCTCAGTAGTGGGGCAAATGATGTAGGCACCTATGGTCCGATCTAATAGGAGGCACCACGTGTTAGGCGGCGACGTCTAGGGCGGAACCAATCAGCGCACAAGCGCGGCAGTGCTCGGCGGGTTCCCCGGAACCAATGGCACGAGGTCATTCGAGGCCACCCTCCCTGCGTACAAGCTGTACCCAGACCGTCTGAGCCCACCTACCTCCAAGAGACTTCAAGTATAAATAGGATGTCACATCCTCAAGGTAAAGGATTGGAACTTAAGCTGTCTAACTAGCACTTGAGATCTTTTATTCTCTCTTGTGGCCTCGTTCAGGTCCTCACACCTCGGACCTCATCCACTTTCATCTCCTAGTACTAACTTGACCAACGGAGTCCCCACCTCAGGTTTCTATCTGAGGCCTCTGATATTGTCCTTTCCGCAGGATCGACCTACTAGTCCTCGGGTCCTAGATACTTCGGCCCGAATACCTCGGCCTCCTCGAACCTCGGACACCTCGTACACCTCGGATGCCTCGGTCTCACTTTGGTTTAAGAGCGAATTGACAGTGTTGTCCTCAGCCATTCCGAGCATATATATATATATATATATATATATATATATATATATGGTTGGATTCCTCCAAGAATTTGCATAGTAAGGAAGTTGGTACCTTCACCCTTAACGACTTTTGGTATGTACGCCTTCCTGGATGAACCTAAGATAACTTTGACACCACCGTTCCAAAAGGTGTTAAGTATTCTTGAACCCATTATTTTGAGCCTTTCTATCATATTGCCATGGTCTACCCAAGAAAAGATGAAAAAAAGTCATGGGTGCCACATCACACCATATACTAGCAGTTTTGGTAGTTCTTCCCAATAGAGGACACTAAGCAATGCTTATCAATAGTTACCTCATTTCCTTTCTTGAACCATGTCAGATTGTACCTAGTTAGTCTTTTTTCAGTCTTTAGTTTCAACCTGTCAACCATTTCTTGTGAAACCACATTTTCACAACTTCCACTATCAATATAATATAATATGGTTGCATACCTTTTCATACACCCTTCATCTTGTATGAAACATGTTGTGGCTCAACCAATTATTGTCTTTAACGCATGTAGTTTTCATGATATGCCTAGTGACAAGAACTTCTCCTTTGTCATTTTAAGTGATTTCACCACCTGCATCATCAATATATCATCATAGACAAGGGTTTCATCTTCTTTTGATGACTTAAATTCAGCTTCCTCGGCCAAATTTATAAACTTCCTTTTTGGACAATCTGAGGCTATATATATAACCAAAACCTACGCACTTAAGCATTTTACTGCCTTGCCTTTTGGATCATCCTATCAACTTGAATATGATCTTGCATCTGTAGATTTCTGTACATACTGGTTCATGCTCTTTTATAGATTGCTTTTCCCTTGATTTAGTCGAGGGGGAAGTAAATCCTTACAGAGTGGTAGACCTTGTATTTGACCTGTTAGATTTTTGTGCTTGATGTTTCTCCACTTATACAACCTATTAGTAGTCCAATAGGGCTGCAAAACCACCATGCCATGCTTGTTGTTCCCCCATTTCTACCATTTTAAATGCATGGTGAATAGACCAAACTCTCCTATATATTCGTCCACAGTCCTCTTACCTTGTTGTAAGTTTTACAATTATGTATACCACTCTTGAAGATAATTTTCAAGAAGAAATTTCTTCCTAAACTCTTTCTTCATCTTTTCCCATGTGGTGATCTTTGGTTTTCCTAATCTCTCCCTTCAGACCTTCAGTTGTTCCCACCAAGTAAACGCATACTTCTTTAACTTGATAGCTACATTCTTCATCTTCCAATGATCTTAAAGATGTCTTTTATTGTATTCAATCTTACCTTGGAATTCAGGGATATGCACCTTCATATCCACATCCCAATGCG